GGCATGCCACTGATGTCCTGTCTGCTTGCATAGGTCTGGGAGGTCACTTGTTCACAAGAATGGCTAACTTCTGGGGCTGTAGACATCAAAGAAGCAGGGTTAATAGTAGTGCAAGTTTTTATAATGCCCCCAGGGGCATCTGAGAGTATGGCCTGATACTTGGTAAGCCATTCCCTTGTTAATCGTAACTAACCTTTTGTTTTCAGAATAACTCTGACCCAATGGGGAGTCAGGACGTCTAGTTGCTGTCCCAAAGTTAACTTTGCAGCTTCTACTGTTAGTACAGCTGCAAAGAATATCTGATTCGGGTCTCTTTTACCCCAACTGTGGCTATAGATTCCCAGGAGCCCGAGGAGGGTTTTCTAGAGAAATAAGTCAAAACAGAATGAAGTAATTGAATTGGCTCACCCATGACATCTAAGATTACCCAGGCTTCCTTGAAGGAGATGGTGATGTTTGTGAACAGGGGCGTTGCAGATTCCTCAGGGCCTCTTCAGCCATCAGAGGAGGAAAAATGAAGATTCTGGCTGGTCTAGCCCCTCTCTGGGAGCAGGGATAATCAATCTCTCCAGTGCCATGAGCCAGACACATTAGCTCCTTCACATACCGAGCTTGGTGCAATCTCTTGCCGTGTCTGGTCCACTTATACTTTAAATAGCAACTCTTTCCCCAGTTGTCCCTGGGTTTTTCCCTAGATGATCTAGGTGGGTTTAAAGCATTGCCAATTGTGACAGCTATAATCTTACCCTTTTTCTCTATCCTTCCTCTGGGTCCTGATTGTTGAACACAGAAAGGGCTGTGTCCAACAATTGAGCCATAGGTATCTGAGGCCCCATCTGAGGTTTTTGTAGCTTATGCTAAATATCTGGGGCTAGTTGGCAGATGAAATGATGTCCCACTAGTGCTTCCCCCTCCCTGGAAGATGGATCTCTATTAGGTTTTTTTTGTTGTTTTTTTTTTTACGGAAGACTCAACATACCTTTTTATCTCCCTGGTAAGAGCAGCCAGCATATCAGACATTATTCTTACTCCTTCATTAGTATTATAGTCTCAGTTTGGTTCTGTTGAAGAAGGAGTAACCTTTCCAGGGTGGTTTCTTTCCCTTTTTAAAGCACATTGTTCATTTGGATAGTTCCTAGCCTCTTGCACACCTGTAACTGAAAAGGGATCCTGATTTATTGGCCTGGAGACTATAAGGAGGAGGTAAAAGAGACCTTGCAGCATCATCAAACAGATCAGAGAGATCCACATCCCCCTCAGAGACAAATGGGGGTCTCAGGATGGTTGGGGTCATCCAGAGCATCTTTCTCCTCCTTGGAGGCCACTCTAAACACCATAGCTCCTGAGCATTCCCTTTAATAGAGTCACAAAAGCCTGACTATATAAGGCATTCAATTCAAGCAGAAACACTATAACTGGAGAATAGTCTCATAATTTAAAGTACCATCCTGTACCCATAGTGCATACTAAGCCCGAATCGTATTGCAATGGTAAAAACGGAAACGAAATTTATGTAAATAGGGAAGGGTGGAGGGAGTGAAGGGTGCACAGGCAATGCGTAAAAAAATAACTAGTGGTTTCGCCGCCTGCTGTGCAGGCACAAGGACCCGAGTTCGATCCCCAGTACCAAAAGAAACCAACTAAAATACATCATGTACAGGTACAAATACCCAATGATAAATGTAAACATATTGTATACCTGAAATGTACCAATAAAAGAATAAAAAATAAATAAACATATTGCAATGGTAGATAAGCTATTCCTATTTTAGATTGTCAGGGTCAGTCCTTACCACTGATCAGGAATATGGCCTAGTGGTGAAGTCAGTGAAATTGGGATGGTGGCACAGTCCAGTCCAAGAGGTTTCCCATTGGCTTGGCTTGGTGCCTAGACAGAGGAAACAACTAGGTTTTGACTCCTTAAGACGGCATCCCATGCAGCAGGAGGAGAGCCGAGGGCTCTGCAAGACGTCCCTTGTGAGACTCTCACACAGACTAGACAGCTCTGTGCAAGTGATGCTGGCACCATTTAGCACAGGAAGCCCCCAGGGGCTTTTGCCTCCATGTTTGGCCCTATTAACTCATTAGGGAGAAGAGGCCAAGACCACCTTGTTCACCTTACCTAGTCTTTGAGCTCCTGTGAAGTGAGGACAGAACTTCCCCAAGTGACGTTCCCTTAGCGATGTAGCTGAGCTCCTTGATAGTCCAACTTGGCATTTCAAGTCCCTTGATGACTCTACTTCTGTTTTAAGCCCTTGATGGATCTGCTGGTATTTCAAGTCCCTTGATGATTCTGTGTAACCAGAATGGAGCCAATTGAGAGAATTGTCTCTTACATTTACTCCAACAGTAAAAAGACTAAGAATGGGGATGGCTCTGGTTCGGTATGCTTACAGTCTCTTTAATTAAATTTTAAACACTATTTGTTTTGCTCAGGTTTTCAGGCATAGGATTTTAAATTGTCTGCTTGTAAACAAGGAAGAAAACCTACAGCCCCAGGTGGGATTTAAGAGAGGGAGAAAGCAGATCAGCAGAAGCCAGTTTGAACAGGCCCACCTGGCTGTTGCCTTGCCTTGGCAAATGCCTTGGGACCTTCCTCTTAGTTGTTTGTTTATTTGTTTACTTATTTATTTAGGTTTCTTGAGACAGAATCTTTCTATGTAGTTCAGGATAGTCTTGAACTTACCATGTGGTCCAGGCTGGCTTTGAACTCATGGTAGTCCCCCTGCCTTAGCCTTTGGAATGCTGGGATTACAGATGTCTGCCACCACACTAAGCCCTTGGGCACTTCCTTTTACAATGAACAAGTTTTTCACTTCTAAGAGCCACTGTACCAGTAAAAAAAATTTTTAAAAAAGAGGTTCTATTCTCTTGTTTTTCAAAATTGGAGGTTTAGCTTGTAAGGCCAGTTAGTTAAAAGAAAAGACATGGTGGCAGTTCACATAAACCAACGTCTAGTTGCATGATTCCATGCTGGCTCTGAGCCTATGTATTGGTGCCACCCACACCTAAGGTGGAACATCTGTAATCCTAACATCTCACCCTTAATCCTAGCATCACATAAACCAAGAAACACCCAGTGAGGGGCGGGGGATGGGACACCTTAATCCTGGGATCACACCAAAACACAAACTGAGGGGGAAAAAAGCTGTCTACAAAACTGGGGTAAGTGGAGACCAGGATAATTTTTTTAAAAAGCAAAACAAAACAAAAAAACTGGTAGCAAACAAATGCAACACAAACTGAGAAAAGCCATGTACAAAACTGGGGTCAGTGGAGACCAGGTTAATTTCCAAAGAGAGTAGCAAAGTACAACAAACAAATGTGTGGATCACAAGGACTCACAGAGTGAGCACAAGCAGCTAGAAGGAAAAACAAAAGCCTACATTCCCTTCCCTCATCCACATGGCCAGTCCAGGAGCTCCCTCCCTGACACCTTGAGAAGAGACCCCCAATTCCTTGCTTAGGGGAGAGAGGGCAGGAATGAAGGAGAGAAGAAAAAAAGCCTTGCAAAGAGAACAAAATATTGTGCCCAACGTGAGCCTTACCTTGCTGTCTGGTACCTGAGCTTTACTTCGGGCTGGCCATGCCAAAATGTTTTCAGAATCTCTTACCTTTTGATTCTCCTGGCTGGCTCACCAAAATATTATTGAGTAGCTCCTAAAACTGGCTCACTAGTCAAATATTACTGGGTTTTGGGTTGCTTGCCTCTCCTTGTGGAACTGAATTCCAGGTTCTTCTTGTCTCAAACAAAGAATTGAGGCAGTGGCAAAGTTTATTTGAAAAAATAAAAGTGAAAAGTAAGAGAGAAACTTGCTCTGCAGATTGAGGTTGGGCCAAATTAAAGAGGAAAAAGCAAGATAAAAGTAGAGAAAGCAGGGTGAGCTATTGTGATGGAGGCCATGAGAGCAAGCTCTTCTAGGGGTCTCTGTCCTTTTATGCCATCCAAATCTTGAAGAAAGCCATGAGAACTTTTACATACAGGTCCTGAGAGGCAGTGCTGGGGTCCTACTCCTCATGCTGACATCAGGTCTAGGCATCCTATTGAGAACCTGCCAGAGTTCTTATGATAAGTCCACTTGCAGGGGTTTGAGAACTCTTCAGGACATGCTTTCTGGGACCTTGTAATTGACAGGTCGTGCCTGCTTCCCCACCCAGTTTTGTCATGCCTTAATCTGCTATGTCAAGATGATGGAATACCACTTAGTAAAATTGAACTGTGACACATGCCTCAACATAGATGAATCTCAAAGTAATTATGTACAGTGAAAAAATTTGGCACTGGAAAATTCCATTCATCAGAAGTTTTCTAAAAGAGCAAATTTATACAGGAAGTTTGAATGGTTGCCTGGAGCTGGAGAATGGAACAGAGATTGACTACAAATAGACTTGAGGAGCCAGGGATTTAGCTCAGTGGTTCTGCCTCCTGCCTCGAAAGCACAAGGTCCCGAGTTCGATCCCTGGTACACACACAAAATAATTATAAAACAGAACAGTTTATAAGCATCTACATTAAATTATGCAGGGTGAAAGAAAAAGTAGTTTTGCTGTTAAGGGCTGTATGCCCCTGAATAGGACATATGGAGTTCCTGCCCTCACAGATTTATATGACCCAGGTTGACTAGAGAAACAAACCTCCTCAGAACCACCCCATGTACTGTGGCTCTTTCCTGATGAGAGAGCCCCTTGAGGGAATGTTTGCCTGGTATATTGTACGGAAATTCTTGATGTGCTTGAAATGTGCACTTTGAGGACTTCACGGTGATTTTCTCTGCTTTCTCCCTGTAAGTCCTGCTAGTGATTTTGATAAAGTAATAGTCCCAAGGCTTACTGATTAGGTCTGTCAGATACTGACACCTTGTTTGGTTCAGAGCACATTAGAATACAGAATTCTTGAGTGAATTGGATAAAAACCCAAAATATCATCTTGGTTAGGAGGGTATCTAGGGTGAAAATGCAAAGCATTCCAAATGACTGCATTAAATGTGTTTTCTCCTTAGGTGATTATGGAGAACAGCCTCCCCTCTGAGATTGCTAGCAAGATCAACCTTGTGGACCTAGCAGGCAGGTAACTAAGATTTCAAAGCCAAGATGTATCTCAGTGGTGCTGGGTGTACCAAAAAACCCACAAAAAAACAAAAAAACATTTCAGTGCCAAGGAGGATTACTCCCTTGACAGTTTTCTGCCTCTTTTACACAGAATAAGCTTGATCCAGTATTTTTCTTTTTTCTTTCATCCTTTTTTTTTTTTTAACGTTTTTCCTGAGAAAATTACAAAAGAAACAAATTCTGCCAGGCTAATGGTGCCCCCCCTGTAATCCCAGCACCTAGAGGCTGAGGCAGGCAGATTCCTGGGTCAAAGCCAGCCTGGGTTATAGAGTGAGTTCAAGGCTGGTATGGATTATATAGCAGACCCTGTCTCAAGAAAACAGTCAAACAAAAACAAATTCTTTGAGTGCTAGGTTAAGAGTTAGTGTGTTGGTGGCTGAAAGATCCTCTGTATCAGGGGTTCTCAATCTTAGCTGCCCATTAAATCTCTTGGGGATCTTTTAAAGTTCCCAGTCTGTGGACCTTAGATAAATCAAATTTTTAGTATGAGTGAGAGGAATGTAGGCACTGGTATTTGTTTGTTTTTTTGAGACAGAGTCTTCCTATGTAGTTCAGGCTGGCCTTGAACTCACTATGTAGCCCAGGCTAGCCTCAAACTCATGGCAATCTTCCTGTCTCAGGCTTCTCAGTGCTGGGATTAAACTTGATTTTAGCCAAAAGCCTGAGAAGTGATAGTGCTGCGATTACAGATGTGCACCACCCAGTGTGGAGCTGAATTCTAAAGGAATTTATTGTATGAGTTTTTTACATCAGTAAAGTCTAGTGGGTAATATCTTTTAAACAACATTATAAAGGTAGTGCTTGTTTGTTCTTGTTTCTGTTTTCATTGATTGTGTTTTAGTGAGAGAGCAGACCCCAGTTACTGTAAGGACCGGATCACTGAGGGAGCCAACATCAACAAGTCCCTTGTGACTCTGGGAATTGTCATCTCCACTTTAGGTATTTGCTGATTGACAAGATAATTGGGATGGGAGGGAGACTTTGGAAAATAACTCGTATTATTTTCATTTTGTCATAGTGGGATAGATACAAGGTTTTTTTTAACAAATTTACCCTTCAGATTGAGGCATGAGAAACTGACATTTATCTGTGATTGTAGAGTACAGTGTGACCCTCATTCTAGCGCTGTCATTTCAAGGAGGGGACAACTAAAAAAAGTGATGTCAGGCCGGGGATTTAGCTCAGTGGTTCCACCGCCTGCCTCGAAAGTGCAAGGTCCCGAGTTCGATCCCCGGTACCAAACAAAAAAAAATGATGTCATTCAATCCAAATAATACATTCAAAGTCTGTGCTTGGATTTGAAGCATCTGGCACATGCAGAATGGAATAAGAGGTGTAATACTTAAGTCTGTGTCCTCCAGCCATTGCTCTGTCTTAGTGCATTTGCTTTTTAATTACTTTTTTCTTCCACTCTTATTATCTATTAAGCCCAGAACTCCCAACCGTTCAGTAACCGCCAGAGCCTCAGCAGCCCAGCCAGGAGTGGTGGTGGTGACAGTGGGACTCCTTGTTCTCTGGGGACCAGCAGTGCCGGGGGACCCTCCCAGAGGCAGTCTTACATCCCATACCGGGACTCTGTGCTGACCTGGCTGCTGAAGGACAGCCTTGGAGGCAATTCAAAGACCATCATGGTCGCCAGTAAGTGGGCTCCTGGTGCTGCTTCTCTGTTGGGTGGGAATTCCACCTCTGAAAAGGACCTGACTGCACATACTCCTTATTTCTTCAAGGGGCTCTCAGGCAGTGTGGGCAGTAGCAGCAAAGCAAGTGGTGGAGGGTGGTGCTAGAAGGTCTTGGCATATTTTTCTGATTTCTTCTACTTCAGCTGTGTCTCCTGCACACACCAGCTACAGGGAGACCATGAGCACACTCAGATATGCATCCAATGCCAAGAACATTGTCAACAAGCCATGCGTCAATGAGGTGAGACCATGGAAGATCTGGTGTGGTGTACTTTACACAGGGTTCTTATTTTTTCCTGTCAGTTTTATTTGTCCTTGTACTTACTTGCCAGACTTATTTTCCAAATGATGAGGGACTGAAAATCTTTCTTCCAGGCCAGGGATTTAGCTCAGTGGTATCATGCCTACCTCACAAGTGCAAGGTCCCAAGTTTGACCCCCGGTACCGAAAAAAAAAAAAGATCTTTCTTCCGATGCTATGTTATATTCTTCTCTGATATCCCTGCTAAATATATCAGTAACCTTTTATAAATAATTTATTTTTATTTTTTGTATTCTGCACATGAGACCTATGAAAACATTATTGCTAGAAATTCATTTTCTCTCTGTGGCGGGATTTTTAGCTCAGTGGTTCCACCACCTGCCT